CATTAATTTATTAACATATCATACTTAGTAAATTTTTATTTTGTGTGACTGTATCACCCAGTTTTAACATTTGATAATGTACAGTATATTGAACAACCCAATTTGACTGAATGATATTTATATTCTAATAAAATTCTAGATATTTTATATAATATTACAACAGACGACAACTTCCTGTTTTTTCTTCTATATTAGTTTTACTCAAATCTCATGTACAGACTTTTTTACAAGGACATGACAAATGATACTCACATTAGGCATACATTAATTGCATCTAAATATTTCACTTGCATTATAGGCTTAGAATTTATTCTCTAGGTCAAGCAGTATTTAAAATGTTTTAATTCATTTGTAGTATGACAATGTAAGGTATATAAGAAGTTATTTAAATTTTGCTTGGGCTATTATATTGACTAGGTATTGAGGTTTAATGAGGAATATGGAATTGAATTCTATATAAATTTACACTATGTGGTTGGGGGCATTTTGCATATTCAATATGGTACTAACTCATCTATAATCATCTATTTGATTGGTATTCCGTTTTCTGTTAATTTCTCATGAAATAGATTATTATATCTAAATTGGCTTTAGTCGGGTGCCCCGCCTAAAAGAACTGGAATCTACCAGGAAGCATCCGTCACGAGCTTGGTCTACATAAAATTAAATTAATAACCATTCATTCATGTATGTGCACGAAATTTATTTCAATCAAAACAGAGGAAAAACCTGTGGTAGACACCGTGAATAATTCAACGACAGTGGAATGCAGAATCAGACCTTCTCCAATACTGCGAATCTCTTCAGTTCAGTTCGGAGAATGGGCTTCAGTATTTACCTTTTGCGAGAGGTACAAGTATAGCGATCCAGAGATGAGAATAAGAAAACCGTGAGATCCCTGATAAAATTGCTTACACTTGTCCTAAAATCAATAGGAGTTCTGTCAGAAGGAAACCCTGTAAATAACATCGGAGTTGAATCACAACCGCTGCTGAAGAAGGCAGGGTATCTGCCTGAACAATACAGACTAAGAAACGGTGATACAACCAGAGTCTAGCATATATGACATCATTTCCCATTGAGTGATGCAAATCTCTTCACTGAAATGAAACAACCCAGTTCACACGCACAAGTGTACTCCAAGATCTTTACAGGATGACCAGAAGGAGCAGCTCACTACAAGCACTCTATCCAGAAGGGGTCAGTCACTGGTGCAGTACGATATAGTTCCACCTTCAGATCATAGATGGAAAGAATCGTGCCATACTTGTATCTTCTTCTGATTCAAATGGAGCAGGTATGAAATTTGGAGAGGAACACAAAAGGGAGCTTTGGTAAGTGGCTGCCTGTCGGATGTTTGGACTCCTACAATAGATTGAACATTAACCCTTATCCTTGCATGTGATACAAGAACATTGTTATTAAGTGTGGTGTATAAATGATGATAGAAGACCATCTGTTTAAATATCTCAGCGTGCAATTTTTTGCTATAATTAGTCATCTAGAATTCAAGATTGACAAATGCAAGAGGCCAATCCAACCGCCAAGTTATTTCTTGTCCCTCTTTTAACCAACTCGAAATGCTGTTTAAATAGGAAAGATCTTACATTTATAGAACTTATTCGCGTGAGCTACTCCCCAAAAACTTTGGTGTTCCAGATTCGTTGATGCTTTGATGACTTCCTGACAATAAACACTGGCTTACTTTGCCTAACCATGTCCAGGGAAGTTGACAGATAAGGCCGAACGTGATTACCTGCACCTCAAATGGAAAGGGAGTGGCCAAACTCTACTTTAAATCCGTAATACTTCCATGTTAGGATGCATGGAGGGACTGATAGAGGAAGAGGTGGAGGAGGACGGTAAGGTAGGTTCAACACTTTATTCTCATCCGCCGTGAGGACAGCCGTCAATGTTGAAGGCTATCAGCCTCCAACACGAAAGTTCTTAAAAAAGAGGTTGTCCCACAGTTAAAAAAGTATTTACTTAGGTCAATCTAAAATTGAATGGCAACCACTGTAAATTGTCCATTCACTCTAGATGTTTTAACACCAGTACAAACAAAATAAAAAAGTTTACTTGTACTGCAATAATTGTATCCCACCTAGCAGTAAACCGTTATAACCCATTTAAGCTTCTGAATGAGACAATGAAGACAACACTGATCAGATGAATGTAATACGTAAAATCTCTGAGTTACTTTGAAAGCTGTGACTCATATTCAGTAACTATCTCAAGATTCTCACTTATGTCTATCATACCTGAACGTGAAGTTAAGATAAAAGAACCCTTCTCTGATCCCACCAGTCTGAGCTCTAAACAACGGCAGGTCCTACTGAAGCGTGCTGAACTCTCCGCTAAGATTACCACTCCTGATGTTAGACCTGGGGAGGCTGGTAAAAGAAAGGAGCCTCTCAGGGGGAGGACTCAAGGAACTTCGGAATTCCCTGCAAATCTTAGGTTAGTTGGGGTCGCTTCAGGGGGTTATGGCGTAGCAAATATCTTAATAATATCAACATTAAACTAACCATCAAATTATACTTCATCTCACGTAACATTCCAATCTATTGTCTCATGAAAGAACAAGTTGTAACATTACTCCCTCAGATTGTCGTACCCTGTGGAGAGGTGTGTTGAGAGACAGTTACCCAGGAGTTACGACGTAGACAGAAGTCCTGCTCTCTCCAGACCTCTCACTCCTATACTCAGAGTTCACTGCACCAGACACTTTAGTAAACCTGTGAGTTTTACTCCTGTCATTTACTGCCTGAGAATTTTATAAAATTAACTTATTTTAATTTGTGAGTTATCTAAATAACTTTGCTCGCTGGTAAGTGGCAGTAGAAATTTTCACATAGTTAATACAAATCTGATAGGTTCCAGCAACACCAGTAAAAGTTGATTACCTAAAGAAGCTACCAGTAGATATCACTATATTGCTTCTACAGAAATACATATCTCCGCCGGATTTACTCAGGTAAAGTTGCCACCAGTATTCTATTCTTTGTCTTTCTACTTTTGTTCCACGTTGTATAAAGACTATAAAGTGAGCGATTCTATGTAGCCTTTCCATGAATACCAATGATCTGGTTTCTAACTAATATTTATTATACAGTGTCCGGGGAGTTTGTAAGTACTACCAGATGTTATGTGACTTGAAAGTTGTGAAACGGCGCTGGAAAGAACACCTCACCGTGGAGAAACTCAACTTTATCAACAGAGGAAAGGTAAGTCTTAGTGTGTAAGAGTGAGGTATCTCACTGACTAATCATACTTGATGCCGTGTTATTACTGTTAATTGTGTTGCGCTTGTATATAAATCTTTTAACTACCTAAAAATTTAAAACCTTACATAATAGTTCACAAAACCTTCAGGAGAACAGTAAAGTTACCCCGTTACCGCTGACAAGGAGAATGTCTAGGAGTAAAGGTCCTCTCAGCCCCATCCAACCTGCCCCCTCTGCTTCCTCTCCCGCCTTCAGATGGGGCTCCTCCCCCAAAACCCCCGTCCAGCACACACCATCCAGCCTAGCTCGACAACGTCCCCAAAGTCCGGATCTTCTTCCCAAACCTCGCACCATATGTCGGCGTTCAAACCCACCTCCCTCGCCTCTTGCATCACGCTCCACTCGTCAATCAGCTGCACTGCGCGGCACTCCTCAAGCTGCTGCACTGCGCGTCACTCCTCAAGCTGCTCCGACTCCGTTATCTCGTCCCCCTCCTCCTCGACACCCTCATAAACGGGCTCCCTCGGCTCGGGACATCAAATCAGACGACCTGCTGCCCACTCCTGAGAAAATAACCCCGAGTAAACGTAGTGTGGACGGTAAGAAGAAGAGGGGTGATGTGAGCAGGACCCCGTTTAGAACTCTAAACATGGGAACACCCAACTCCAATTCTTCCAGTAAGACAAGTCTCAGCTCCACTACCAGTCTCGTGACTCCTGATTTCAGGACAGAACACGCACACATTACTCCTGAGTTCAAGGTTCCTAGCTACTCAATCAACTCCAAATCTAGACAGCGTCTCAAACGTCTCTGAGATTTAGTGAGCCTTAAATAGGGAGCAATAAAACGAACCATGTTCAGCCGATCTTTGAAGAGACATATCGATTCGTCTGGGAAGAACGTTTAAAAATACGTTCTATAAGTTGCATAATTATATCTCGATTTTGTTATGATGGTTGTGTTGTGGATCTTTTACTACGACTCTATTCAGCTGGCTGAATAATGGGTTTATATTTTCATAACATTGTTAAAGCACTGTAAACGAGGATGTAAGTTGAGTGCTTTCATGACATTCCAATTTCATCGGATGCTTAGATTTTAAAATACCTCAGGCTGAGCCTCTGAAGTATTGTTGTTTTGCTGTAAAATTGGATTTAACTTTAACTTGGAGAGTGAAGATTATTCTAATTTAACTTGAATATCATTATATTGACTATATTCTGTTGTTTTTTGAAGTTGTGTTTATACCCTGTGAAATTTTCTGTAAACTGACACGATATTGAACATTGTTATTGTATTTTATATTTGATATTATTTGTCATTAATTGAACTGTAGTTTAACTTATATTATCAAAACTTAAGTCCCAAACTGTTGCACTACACAAAAGATTAATAGAACGATAAAATGTTTAATTTCGAATACATTTTAAATCCAATAAGCTATCAAAGCATCACGAACACCCCTCGCACCCTCATTTGAAGCAATCACAAAACCGAGAATATATTACAGTCCGGACAAGATGCCAGCCACTCCTCAGGCAATATCGGGACCACGTGACCTCGTTACCACTACTTCTTGACAAGTGGAGAAGCAATAAAGGCAACTGTTCTGACAGTACGAGGTAGTTTATTGCAGGCACAGTATTCCTCCTCTAGTCCTCACGCTCTCACATACGTCCTCCTCACTTTCTCGTTGTTAATTAGTTGCCACAAAACCGATTAGATAGTCCTTATGGCAGTGTGGTACGAGTGAAAAGCTGATCAGTAGGGATTATGGGTACGTCAAATTTAGTTGTTTCGTTCATTTTCATTGCTTTATTTGAACTTTACTGTGTTCTAGAATATTGTAGAATTCTAGAATCCTCGTATTTAGCGTAGCCGCAAATTAGTTGTATATGAGATCCATGAGGAATCGCCGTGATGACACAAATGTAGTCGTACAATTACTACAGTCCATTGCTTACGATGGCACCATCATTTCCATGGAATTCGTGAATGGCATTCAGCCATGAATATATGCTACCAGTACCATAATACTGAGGAATGATATAACAATTGATTCAATGACTTTATTGTTAATATTATTGAGGCCCTAATTCCATCATCCATGGACACCATTTAGCAGTCGCCAAGTAAAATGATGGAATTGGAAACATTCATGTTTCATTAGTTGTACTACTAATAGTAATATCTCGTAATCAAATAAAATGCTCGTGTTAAGTTGCAGAGTTTGCTGATTTGCAACTACAGACTGCAGAATGCAGATGGAACCATTACCAATGTCCAATACCATACCAATACCAAAGGATGCATTTGATTTGGAAGCATTGATACCCTCTGATTCAGTCATCTGATGTTATGGGAAGTTGGTCGTTTAGCTCCGGACAGTCTATGCACGGTCCATGCAACAACAAAAGAACACTCCATGCACAGTCCCTGCACACTGGACACTTGATGCACGGTCCCTGCACGGTCAGTCCCTGCACACTCCCTGCACGGTCTATGCACACTCCCTGCACGGTCTATGCACGGTCCCTGTACGGTCCCTGCACAGTGCACAGTAACATATAACACGGGCTAGTAGCCACTTGTGTAATTACTTGTGTTATTACAAAAGTGGCTAGTAGCCACTTTTGTAATAACAGCTCCTCAACTTCACATTACCAAACCGGCTACTAACCGGCACTTAAAAAGTGGTCACTAGCCGGCTACTAACCGGCTACTAGCCGGCTAGTGACCACAAAGTGGCTACTAACCGGCTACTAGGCGGTCACTAGCCGGTTTGGAAACTCGAGAAAGTAGGTCTGCTTTTGAGCTCAGCTAATAGCCGGCGGGTGACCGCCTAGTAGCCGGTTAGTAGCCACTTTGTGGTCACTAGCCGGCTAGTAGCCGGTTAGTAGCCGGCTAGTGACCACTTTTTAAGTGCCGGTTAGTAGCCGGTTTGGTAATGTGAAGTTGAGGAGCTGTAATTACACAAGTGGCTACTAGCCGGTGTTCATATGTTACTGTGCAGGGACCGTGCATAAACCGTGCAGGAACCGTACATAGACTGTCCGGAGCTAAACGACCAACTTGCCGATGTTATGATAGGCAAGTTGCGTGGTACATAGCGATGCCTGTACATTCATGTCGAGACTCGAGAGACGTTATTAAACTGAGTAGTAGTTGACATATTGAAGGTTACGTTGCTTAGTGCATTGCGCACATTAGCGACGTCTGTTACTGATGGTGCGATTGTAATATTTTAAGCACCATAATTGCTGCGAAATCTCACCTATCACTGCTTCGGATCACCAGATCGCTTCTTATTTGGAATCGTACGCCAACAAATTGAACCTATTAACTTGACTTACTTGACTTATGGCAGCTTCAGAGTCCGAGTCTCGATGAATATGATGTGTCTCCAAAGCTTTCTGTCCGCCATGGCGCGCCATAAGGTGTTCTTGAGTCCGGTGTCACTTCTTAATCTTAGGTTGTCGACGAAAGTGAGATTATTAATCAGTTCATAAAATCATTTTGTTATTAAATAGATCGGATGATTGCTGACATTACTTTTCAGATTTCGTCAAGCTGTATAAACCAAACGCGAAAATACTTAGTAAAGTAGGTCAAAGTAAACCTAAAACAAAAAGAAAAGGAAAAAACGGTGGTTTAAGACCGGCTGCTGACCCAGAGTCCTCTAGCTCTGATGGAGGTACGTTTTATTTACGCAATTTGTCGTCCCCTAAACCATTTCTATATTCGGAACAAATATATTTCCTTGAAATTTTAATTAAGTTCAACAATCAACATAATGGTAACAATTATGAATCAGAAACAGATATTTTAATCATCGTTGAATTTTGTGATCATTAGCAGTACAATGTGCGACTTTCAGGTTCAGTCAATTCGTGGGATCGAATTCAGGAGGAGTTCAATGATATAGTAGACAGCACTGGAAAAGTAAGTTTTAAAATACAAATTTTTCATTCAAGAAGGGGCTCAGGTCCTCTGATCTCAATGTTTAGCATACCTACAAATTGCAAACAAATGCCATTTTTCAACACTTATATTCTTATAATGATATAAAATACGATACTCTAAAAAACACCTTTATTTCAGGATGATAAAGGCGGGGAATACAAGAGAAAAAGCCGCAACATCTCAGTTTGCATAATAATACCCATTCTGGCTGTAATCAGTTACTCGTGCTACCACATCTACCAAGGACACATCTCCCACCGGCAGAGCAGGGCTAATCACAACCTGGTCGGCAGCAGTCAGCAGGTTTAAAATATTTAAAAAGGTTTTAAGCCTTCTCAGTGTTAATAAACAACAACTACTGTTACTATAACTGTTACAATCGGCAACTTAGCATGAAGTTCTCTATGTTAACTAATCTACCAAAACCTGCACTTCTCTAAGTTAACTAATCTACCAAAACCTGCACTTCTCTAAGTTAACTAATCTACCAAAACCTGCACTTCTCTAAGTTAACTAATCTACCAAAACCTGCACTTCTCTAAGTTAACTAATCTACCAAAACCTGCACTTCTCTAAGTTAACTAATCTACCAAAACCTGCACTTCTCTAAGTTAACTAATCTACCAAAACCTGCACTTCTCTAAGTTAACTAATCTTCCAAAACCTGTACTTCTCTAAGTTAACTAATCTATCAAAACCTGCACTTATTTTAGTTAACTAATGAATCATACCTGCAGTTCTCTAAGGCAGTGGAGGGTCTCAATGCGGAAATGTTGTGGACAATGATGTACATATACGGTAACCTTGACTACCCAGTGGTAGTTGTCAGTGATCTCAGGATTAAGAGTAACGAATCTCTAGGTAAATAAATTCAGTAAATGGTTGTCATTCTGTTCCTAAGTCCTCGCACTACTTAATTAGTATGATAATTAGATAGTTTTCACCGACCTAACTTGAATTTTAACCTCAGCTGAGATATCAAGTTGGCCCAAGACACTGGAGACGAACTATGCCACAAAGACCCAGTTTGTTCACGATCTAGAGCAACTAAGAGGTCAGATAGATGCTCAGCAGCTCCGAGCAGAGGAGGCTTTCAAAGCGTACCACGTGATGATAAAGATTATATATGAAGGGGTAATCCAGTCTCTACAAGGAGGATCCTTCTCTCTGGTCTGGAACACGCTGGTGAGTACTGCCCACTTTATTTCTGTGCCCCTGCTACTTGTCTGCCAAATGTTCAAGCTTTTTAGCTACGTGTTTCAAGTCTCGGACAATTCCCCCGACTATGATTTTAACAAATCCCCGAATGATCAATGTGGTCTGGCAACAGTTTGCGATTCTGTAAAATCTCTCTAGTACGATATGAGTTCGTTCCACCAACACCCAATATACTTGGTTAAAGAGAACCCTCCAGAAGCCCGATACAAAAGCTTCTTGTGCAATGCCCTGGTAAGTATTATATCGTGTTTGTTTGTCTTCTCCTCTGATCAGACCTCATTAAGTGGATATAGAAATACAGGCTGGACCAGAAATAACTACTTATGTGCACACCTCCAATAGCTCACGTAAATCTATTTCTTGTCTAATTTTCAGATTCATAGAAATTATCGTAATATTTCGGACCAGTGGGTCAGATATGAGTTGCAATGCCAGCAAGAGTAAAAGTCAACTTAGAACACCTTCGCACGGATTTAATTTTAGCGAAGGCATAATTTTTTTCAGTCCACTTTTCCGGCTTTTTTATGTGTAATCTGTAAATCTAAATGTGTTATTAACTCGTAATTTTTGGATGGTATTTCATTGTTTATTTTGATGTGTTCCTTATTTTAATTTTATCTTTATACATTTATTTTGCCTCAGGATTATTATATGTTTCAGCACGATTCATATTAAGTCAGACATTTCATTTGTTATTAGTCTTTTGCATGTTTAATTCATGTTTAATTCCTGTTTAATTCCTGTTTATGCCTGTTTATTCCTGTCTAGAATAAGCTGGCTGCAAATCAATGTTTGCAGCAGATTCCTAAGAACAGAAAAACAAAAAGCCGGTATACTGCATAGATACTCATGTCCAGTGACTAGATGAAGTGAACTTACCTTCCACAAGCAAATGCCTGGATTAAATTTTAAAATCCTGTGAGAGATATTCGAAAATAGAATACTCAATCTAACTATTGCAGGTGACGTATGAGACGATTATCTTCAGCAGATATCAGCTTTTCTTGATAGAAAGTGTTGGGGTGATGTACTTTATGAACGGCACCATCTCCCTTGATATTCATTCGCTGTTCATCGGCGCTCTCAAAGTATTCCAAACCTGCCAATTTCTGGACATTTTATTTGACCGTTTTTCGAGGAGAAAAGTTTTTATTTTTCATCTTATTAATCACTAACATCTCAACTGTTTTCAGCACACTAACAGTTAAATTTAAATGATTACCAAAATAATCGATAAACTCCCCAGCTTCACGACTACTCGCTACAGTTTTCACAGATATATGGCGGGGATACCATCCGGTCTAAGATATACCAGTCTCTCATCAAATACAGGTACTACTATTAACCTTATTCCCACTTCAACTAGCTATAGATATTCAAGTTGGTAAGTAATGAATGCATACAGGTTATTACCAATTGTCACTGTCACGTGTTGTTCTCAGCGGTGACCTGCGGACGCTATTAAAGCAGATAAGAGGTAATGCTCACGTTGAGCAGTCTCACAAAATAGCGCTCTTTTGGATAAACATCGGAATGTCATACGACGAGGTAAGAAAGTTGATCGAACAAAGAGTGCCTAAAAACAAGACAAGAGTCAATACTAACAGATACAATACGCTAGGCTTTCGGAAGTTTTGCATCAATAGAATATTTCGCCAATTAATTTTCAGCTGTTTGTTGACGCCGAGCATTCAGTTAAGTTAGGAAACAAACTACTGACTATAAAATAACATTTCAGCACATAAAGTCAATCCAGGACAGCGTAGCCGCGTCTGTTAACGAAAAGATGGCTTCAATGATAAAGAAAGCTATTCTTTATCAGTACGCTACAGAAGTAGTTCTTATCATCCTGTGCCTTATCTTATCTGTGTTTGCTGTAATCGACATCAGGAAAATAAAACAGATTTACCTGTACTTAAAGGTAAGAATAATGTAATATAATGTCTATTGTTTATGTAACTGGTAACGTACGCGCAATAGTTGGATCTCTACACTTTCATATTATCAGATCATGTTCATAATCTCAAAAACTCAGCGCATATGCCTGTTTATTAATTATTCATCCACCACAAACAATATTGATAGATAATCGTGGTAAGAATTTGCAATCAGCTTAAGTGTTTTGAATTGGGTATTGATAGGGAGCAGTAGGCAATGTAGCGCTCATAAGACATTATTGAGTATACACATTTAACACAACTCACAACACAATAATCCTGCAGTCACAAAGTGAGCGGACGAAGGTAACCATGAGGGTGCTCAAGATACAGAAAGACAAGTCAGAAGCGTTGTTGTTCAGGATGTTACCGTACAGTGTGGTGAGAGAGCTCCGGAAGTGTCGGGAAACTAGTAATCTATACGTGGGCAGCTATCAGAGTGCAACTGTTCTCTTCGCTGATTTGGCTGATTTCCAGGTTTGTACACTGTATATTTTGATTTGTGAAACATGCGGCTGAATCTAAATTGATCTTTACCTTATTAACGACACGGTCCATTCTGTGTTCGATATCTAAAGCTCCCTCCCCTCCCATGACAGCGGCTAGCAGCTAGAGATATGAGTCCGTTTGCGTACGTACGATTCCTGGAGACATTCTACTCGAGAATCTCAGAGGTACTGGAGTCTCACAATGTAAACGAGATTGAGACTGCTGCCGGGGAGTGTCTAGTGGTTAGCGGACTCCCTGATAGGATACCCAAACACTGCTCCGAGGTATCTCTAACGTTATCTTCCTTTTTCTCCAGATAGCACTCACACACCTCCCCTTCTTCTCCAGATAACAATCACACCCTTCCTCTCTCCTAAGTTAGCACTCACACCCTTCCTCTCTCCTCAGATAGCACTCACAGCGCTAGGACTCCGGAGTGTAATGTGTCGAGGACTTCAACTCGGAGTCCACGGAGACTTTGTGTGTTTCCGTCTTATACAGGGTATAGCTACTGGACCAGCCGCAGCTGGCATAATTGGGGTTAAATTGCCGAGGTTTTGTGTGTTCGGCGATACGGTCAATACTGCCGCTAGGATGAAATCTACTGCTATTGGTGAGAATTTTACTGTCATATGTTTTCAATGCCTTTTACTTTTGGCTTTCTAGAATAATTTTATGAAGGCTTTCATGGATCTCTTTTTGATGAAACCTGAGTTTTAAGAGACACTGTATTGCCTATTTTTCAGGTATGAGGATTCAGATTACTGATGTATGTTCGGAAGTTCTTGAAGAAGAATTCATAGTTTCCAAACGAGGCGTCATCTTCGTGAAGGTGAAAGAAGAGTACTAATTATTAACTTATTAATGCTGGTTACAATACTACATGCTCAATGCTCATCAGCCTAACATTTGAATAATATAGTGTTGGTACTGGCAGCATGAACACAATCTTGCAAATGTCAATATTTTCTTACGAAAAATTTAGGATTCCGATTCAAACCATTTGTGCCTGATCTTATCTGGTTAAAAGTGTATCTTACAAGAGACACAAGGAAATATTTAAAACGTCTCGGCAGGGTAAAGGAGAGATGGAGACTCACTGGTTAATTGGAGTCCGGAACAGCAACGAGGACCTAACAAACTACAACAGCAGTAACAGCAACTCTGGTTCCAAGATGGCTTCAAATGCCAACAGAAAAAAACGGAATAGTTGGGCAGAGCAACCAAAAGAGCAGCCCAAATCTAATGTAGGTTCCCTATTAGAGAGAGGGATGTCATATCAGTATTAGTTATCATGAATTTTTTCATTCCACCTCTTGACCTTTTAACTCCGTAAAACCCACAAATCCAGATTTACCAGAGCTCTTTCCTTTACAAACTCGGTAATAAATCGGGGTTTAAATGATGTATGCAGTTGATTCCCATTTGAGTTCAGTCGTCCACATCTTATAGTTATTCCAAATGCGGTGCCTAAAGCTTGTTAGCTGTTCAGCAAGGGATGAACCATACACTTACTTACAATAATGGTACTAACACTAATCTCTCAGGGGCGAGAGCAAACAGACGATACAAAGTCTAAAAACAAGCCCAAGACAGGGCGTACTAACGGAGGAGTGAATGGCCGCTAAATTGTAACCCCCTCTCTTTCTCTTTCACATCCTCTTCAACCGCTTATTATACAACTCTTCACACAACTGAACTCAGGACATTAGCACTCTGATATTTAACCTAGAGCTGCTGTGATTGGTTATCATGGCACTGTGAGAAATTAGCGACCAATTAGTGACCAATTAGCGACCAATGTGTTTGATTAATGTGGTTACCAGTCTGTTTGCATAATATGTAACAACTAATCCTAGTTTTCAGTAGAGTTGTTGTAACTTTAGTCTTTTCTCGTTAATTTCAGATGTTTTAGTTAGATTGTAACGTTGAAAATCCAGTTTAATGTGATACAGACAACTTAGTTGTTTTCGGTTTTTGTAACACAACCAATGCAATGGTTAATGATTGATTTCATCGTGACACCACATTTGAACAGAAAAAAGGTATCCCGGGATATCACTCAAATTAATTTGAATTTGAATTATGAAACTTACGATTTCATCTCAGATTTGTATTCTAAATTAAATTCCAACTGAAAAATATCTCACGTGAAGTTACAATCAGTATTTTAAACAAACCAATTGGGGGTCGTTCATTCGTCCTTGATAACTGCTCTAAGTGGCATAGTGCTATCCCTTTAATATCAATTGAATATCGGAAAGAACCAAAAGAAACTAAAACACGGCTTCATTTCATGCAAAGTAATCGTAGCTGCTGGCCAACCGGATTACATCAAGCACGCTATGTATAAACAAGGAGACAATATCCATTGATAAACCTTGTAAGCACAGATATATTTTTCGTAAACAGTCTTGAACAGAATATTGTTGCTCTTTTCCAGTCATCCACTTTTAAGCTTCATTCTATCAGCAATTTTAAATCTTTTAAGAAGTAAAAATCCCGTACTTTACTCAAGTTTTAATACGTTGCCTGTTTGAGTTGCCACCCTGTTCACTTGATTCGTGTTAATCGAAGCCATCTACTGAACATTATCATTATGTCTAGTTCTACTGACACAGCTTATGTTTATTTTAAACTATTATTAAAAGTTATTATTCAGTTCCACCTGATCAAACTAAGATTTTCTGAAGCAGCTCAGTTTCAAGATTCTTACCGCTTCGCCCTCATTTCCTTGCGATCATTGAGATAGCTGTTTTATTTGACAATTGCATAGTTTACACAATCAGTACCACCTACTTTACCGCGAACTTGCAGTTGTACTTCTCAAGATATGCGTTGCAGAGAAAAATGTGAACGTTTCGTGCTCATTTTCAAGCAATCTGCCTGTCTTTTCATCGACTTCTTATTAATTTGATGTATATATTAGGCTAAAACTAGACGGCACAAGGCATATTCATATCTGGTATTCTTAGTGACTTCGAATAGCACTTGACAGAAACCTAGTAATGAACAAAGAGACTCTTATTTCACAGTGCAATGTTGGTAAAGTTCATTGTTCCATCTGTAGTCTATGTTGGTAGTCTGATTTCTATAGGAGCGGTATTTAGATGGGTCCTGCAGTGAGTAGCTAGCTAGAATCTAGATTATACATACCAAACGTTTTCTGCCTGTTAAAGCCAATCAAGAATTAAATTCCATTTTCTTGAAGCTGAAGTTCACTTTTGGATTTTCTGAACTCAAGATTTAGCTGTTGATCAATAAGTTCAGATCTATGGATCGAGTTTCTTAACGTACGAATTATAATCTAGAGCGTTAAAACGTGATCACGTTTAAACTCGATTCTCGAGCCCTCTTTACTGCCAATGAATAGAATTGCCGTGAGATAACGTCTAAAGTTGGCAGAAATGTATTTGTAAAGTCGTGAGCAATTGGACAGACACTTATCATGCAGTCATCGCACGTCAAAACTTCATGCATGCTGAACGAAATGTGACGTAATAAATTACCATAAAGTTAAACTACTTATTATATTTCAACATGGCAATATTTTATTTCATGTTTTAATTTATCAAATTTTAAGTTTCTTAAGTTGATGACTTCTCGACAGTCGACTTGCATTATCACGTTTGTGCTTCAAGTTTTGTCTACAATCAACCGATCAAGCTTGTTTTAAAGACCATATAATTTTTATAAACAGTGCAAGTTATGCATCAAGTTGTTTAATTTTAATTAATAAGTAGTAAGTATAACTCTTTAAGTTTGCTGAAGAGTTGCATAGCACAGCAGGTGAATATGAAGAAGCGAGGACTGAAGGACCAAAAGGCTCAAAGAGCCAACATGCGTGCGACTGACAACAAACAACAGTTCATGCAATCGCTTCAGAACCTTCAGGTATTATTACCTAAAAATCATTTAAATTTAAGCAAGAAAACAATTTGTTGATTTAGGGGTCGTTCACATATTATTATTACGTAATCATCCGAAGGGGGAGGGGGTTTCCAAATGATTACGCGAGTTAAATTTTGATACAATAGCTACTGCTACATGTATGGTAAAACTGATTACGGAGGGGGTGGGGGGGGAAGGTGGTGTAAAAATTGTCCAAAAAGTGATTACGTAATATGTGAACGACCCCTAATCAACATTATCAACAAGGAAAATTATTTGCCTATATTTTTAATATGCACAGAGAAAGCGGATCTGCCAGCTGGATGAGGAAATGATGGTGATTAGAAGAGACTTGATGAACATGAACTCCCACCAACCAAACTACTTTTTAGAACCCAGTAGACCGAACTCTGCTCGACAATCCAGCAGGTATGGGGCAACCCTTGTGTGTCAGATTGAAGGGGTAGCGATAAGCTACCTCTTCAGTTCAATATAATGGTTTAAATTAAAAAGCCGCCCAATTTAGCAATCTTATAGAAAACGTACTAATTGCATTTGCTGTTGCAGGCTCATATTATTTCGCTCGCCGAAAAATCATTGATGCGTTTTCCGTTGTTTTTACCTAAACCCTTTACACCAACCCTAAATCTAGTCTGATCTAATCATAACAGCCCGAAGCTAACCATAACTCTTAACACAGCCCTAACCTTAATCGATCGATTTTGTGTTTCAGTTTTACTAGCCTGTCACGTGAAGCAAACCAGTTTGTTGCCCACAACTCCTCAGGGAAGCATTTTTACCTTACGTCACGGTCATAGGTCATAGGATCAGCGTTTCTAAAAAGTACATGCAGCGTCGATGTACTTTCACACCCTCAGGGCCTTTTCACGAGATTATTTAAAACTATGGGCGAGCGATTTAGTAGGAGCAGCATTTGCATGTACATTGTACAAGCAGCAACAGCAATTATAGCAATGGCATCCTGTAAACGTAACACAGCCTGCAAATCTTGCCCACCAAAGACTGCAAAGTGACAGTAAAGCATTCAGGCAGAATCAGAGGTCGAGGCCTGTGTCGAGACATCGAAGTCTAACAGTAACGATCCCCAGCGCTCGACCAACAACTGCTCCAGAGACAAGGGACCGGGATCTATCTCGACATGTCTCCCGGGACAAGGACCTGTCTCGTGAAACTCCCGGGAACTCGTCAAAAAAGCTTCATCCGGCTCTCTGCAGTCACAGATCTCACAAAACGTTAGTCATTTGTAATTTATTAAGAATAAGACCCTTTGGTGCATGGCTAAATATTGCTAATGTCACTTCACGATCAAAGCACTAATGGACGTTGCCCAATACTGTTACGATTTCGACCTTTAACCGTAAAAAGCAGCGTCTAACTGCCATAGTGCCAAGCTAATAGATTTAGATTTTGTCTAATAATTAATATTTCAGTCGGACAGGAGCAGAGGTGGGAATGGAAAAGGTCCAGTTGTCAGTCTAGATCAGTGTCCAGAAGCAGTGGCCTCAGTCTCCTCCAGATGGAAGAAAGGCAACACCAGAGTGAAACTGGGAGCAGTTCAAATCATGACACGTTCTCACCAAGAAGCCAAGAAGAGAATCGAGTCAAAACAAGACTTCTCTGCTAGTGCCGAGCTTGACACGATAAAATCGATCAGCAAGTGGCTCAGTATCAAGGTATGCAGAAGAATGGCTGAAGTTTTGCTGGCGTTTAACTCCCTTTTCCAATATAGCCATTTTAAAACATCACTTACATGAACTGTTACTTGAAAACAATATCATTCAAACATCATAGTCTAATAATCAATAATGTAATTGTATGTATCCTCAATCCTGTTAAAAGTAACCAATCGTCCAGAAAATGGCGGAGCAGCCCAGGGGAATCCCACCAATAGCAATGAGATACGTTCACTCCAGGCATAAAGACTGGAAGTTTGACCTTCCCACCTTCATGGAGAAGCAGTTTCCTCCAACTAATCTAAAGCAGAGTTTGTCCCAGAAGAAATCATGGAAGAGCAGAAAAAGTGCTTTAATGTAAGTTGAGTTGTGATCTAAACCCAATACAATAGTGTTAATATGAATCCCATGTCCCTATATTACTAAACATTTTACAACCAGCCACCACTACAGTACACTAACAACACATCTCCCAGAACATGACAGCAGCTAGAGCACTTCTCAAATTCAAGAGGAGACTAAACACTTTCCGAGCCAAGACAGAAGAAGAACGCCAGGCCGAGAAGATGTGGGAAGATTTGAAGAAGGTCAGATATCTGAGGATACCTGGACAAGCGACAGAATCCCGATCTATTCCTACACTCCGGATCTCGGCCTCAGCCGGCCCGACTCAATGCTTGACGATTATATGAATGAGGAAATCACTTTAGTGAGAAGAAAATCTGTTTAATTCTAAAAACGTGTGGGAGTTCAGTGACTTACTTCGAGAACGTGATACTTGTCACTTTTATAACAATCTCACTCATTTCCTTTGTGGTCATTACTCTTTATGTTTGATATTTGCATATCGAAAGATCGCGGATTTTTCTCAGAGGTCTTGTTATTGAATTTTGTTAAATTTCTCAATATATAGTTAAACAGGAAAACTACAGTTATTTTTGCAAACGATTCAGCACGGACAATCAAATTAACATAAATTATAATAAATAACTTTGTTTTAAAGCTCTGTGATAGCTGAAAAGAGCAAATCTGGGAATCTTGTCAGTATCAAAACAGCACTGTCATTTACAAAAAGCATTGGTTCACGATTTTAAAAAACCCCTTGTTTTAATAAAGCGTCTGGACTAAACGCCTGAACGATTATTCACTGTGAAATTCCACTCACTCACAACCACACAAATATCACGCCAAGCTTCTCTTGCGTCAACACTGTCTAGCAAAGTAATGAAACTTTGGCTAGTCCCTCTTTAACCCAACTTACAATTATTTTGTAGCTGTTTTGTAGAAATCTACCCCTTAAAAATAGACAACACTCAGTCTCCCCCCAATAATGATAGCAGTTGTTACGCAACTGAGATATACATTATTCTATACTTTTAAAACAACCGGCTAATTAACAACCTAAGAAAAAATGATTTAGGAACGAAATTCAACGAAAACAAATAATTTTGTGCCCACAACAACAGCTTGAAAACAATGAATTTACATATAGTAATTGCCAATAGTTATAAATAAAACAGTCGAAGAACGCTGCCCTGATCTGTTGAACCAAGAGTCAAATTTCCGAGTAAGCTAACAGTTCATTTGTATTCTGTTGGACAGAGAGAGAGAGAGAGAAAGAGAGAGATATTGAGAGAGAGGGCGTCCCTTAGTCAGATTTACCAAGATGGGTGTCCTTGGTATAGTCAATCTATAGTGATGATATTTTCGTTGTCTCTACTCCGACTACGAGAGGTTGGCACCTTTTTGAGGGGGTTAGTTGGGGGCGCAGGGTGTTGTTTTGTGATTGATTTTTTGTGCGCCAGGCTGACCTGCTTGTTGTTCTAATTGATATCGATGAAAGTGCCGCATCTTGTTCAGCTCTCGCATGAAGTTTGTGAACGCGGGCTGAAATATAATCACATTTAGGATAGAGTTAACAAATTTCATCTATATTCATTATGATTTCATACTGAGACCATACATGAACATTGGACGATTAAGGTATACAATTTTCATCAGTTTTAACTTTGTCAATGGCCACCGATCATTTATTATGACCTATACTAAAAACTGATGAACGAAATCTACGTAGCTGAAACAATCCATACATTTAGGATGTCATTAATGAGCCCATGTTATTTTCTTTCAATATAAGCACAACATTGGTTTCAACTCGTATCAATTAAATGCAGAAGTGAGGTACTTACATCTCCATCAGGAATGCTGTTCTGACACATCGACATGAGAGTCTCGAAACCTGAAACATGATGATTAGCTTTAAGATTGACAATGAAATTCTGGCGGGAACTGACTACTGAGATCGGAAGGAAATACGATTAATTTTAGCGGGCCAAGCGCTATCCTAATATCTGGTGCTCTGACGGACGCGCACATATTTTGTGCGCGCGTGCGCGTGATAACTGCAACGGAAGCGCACTAAAATCCAAAAATATTTTGTCGCGGTCGACGTTTAGTTCCTATTTTAACGTTAAGCCAGAGGGTACCAGAAACATAGATGATGGGGGCGAGCTCGACAAAAATGGGGGCAGATACTAATCAGACACACATTTTTAGAAAAACAGCCAGAGGGAGTGTTCTCGGTTTTTGTGGTTCAGCTATAATAGAGTAATCATCACACGGTGGTTCCCACCTAAGAAGTGAAATTGAAAACGTAGCGCGCCTGAAACGTCGCGCGCCTGAAACGTCGCGCAGCCTGAAAGCTGACAATGTCAGCCGCGCCGAAAGCTTTCATAAGGTTTCAGTAATCGCGTCTGCGGCAAATTAAAATTTTTAAAAATTTGCCAGTAATTTTGTCACAATTTGGCGACGGGAATATGATGGCATTGGGTTTCGGTTAAAAAACCACCAGATATTAATGGAGTACAAGATAACGTGACTGAAATTGGCGAAAACTTGTTTAGCCCACAGCAATTGGAAATGTCGAGTTTTCGAAGCTTTGATACATTTAATGATAAACACGATTCTTTTAGCGATAAAGCTATTCAATCAATACATGAAAAACAAGCAAGGCATATAATCGAATGAAAAATTAATTTGACCACAGTCCTAGTGCCATGTCCGCAAGTGTACTTGTCCCCTGTTGAATCCATGAGCATTGGGACATTAGCAGGACCATTGGTTTTTGGGACATTAGCGGAAACTAAGTTTACGAACTCAAGTTACCGAAGCTTGATGACTAAATGATAAACACATATTCTTTTAGGCCGATAAAGATATTAAATCAAATACGTGAAAACAAAGCACAGTATGATAAATAAATAAACATTAATCTTAGTTATTCCTTTTGGGTGATAAGATCACCGTACAACAGCAGTTCACGCAACATTGGCCGTGTGGACGGCTTGTCACTTGTGCGAGGCATTTAAAAAACACGTTCTTGAAAAGTACACGTGTTAGTCAAAACAATACATGCCGTTCTACAAAAATAATTACAAGTGGAAAATTACCCAATCTTTAAAAATACTCTGTCTACAAATACAAATACACGTGTAACAAAATACTGAAAGCACATATCAGGCCTATATTTGGCCTAAATTTGAAGTGAGTTAAGTTTTAGAACCCTTTAAAAGCATTCAAAAATTCAAATTCTTACCATTCTGAGAGGATTGGATGCTAAAACGATGAGTAATCGTTGATCAGGACTCTAATTATTCAGGTTTTTTATAAAAACGCCAATAGAAAAATTGCGATGATTTTTTTATCGGGATCTTCCAGGAGATTCTATGTACTTCCAAAGTATAGCATCCATTTTTTTTTCAGGTGTATTCGAGGAATGGTCTAAGCTTGTTTATGTATGCAGTTTCATTGACCTAATACAAACTGATGGAATTTAAGTGATTAATCTGTCGGGGTGGTATTTTTTATGCAGATAAAGACTGAGTTGTGGTCTAAGGATGGGGAAGCCATAACTTATCTCTAACTCTGGATCTCAATCGGGTTGACCATAACATTAATAGTGCCTATCTTGTTCCTTGTCCCTCGTCGCCCAGAATCCCCAAGATGGTTAGGCAAATCGTCGAGGGACAAGCTGCGTCCGAAAGCCCGGAAGGAGGGTTTCAATCAGTTTCCAGCCTGTAATGAACAGTTTTTCCACAGACTCTCATCATTATACAATTAATAAATAAAGGCTGACTATGCTGGACCTGTTCGTATGATAAAATTATTTAAAAAATAAACCATGTTTCACCACTTTGGAAACGTGTCACAGACAACAGCCTCAATTTTTAACGGTAAACATTCCTCACTAAATAACGGACCCAGTTTTAACAAAGTCGGAGTCAATTTGGAGGAGGAGACTGATTCTTACTTACCGTCTGCGGCGTCCAACGTGATATCCGCAAGAATTCTGCAGATGCACACAAGCATTTCAGAATCCAGCCTTATCCACCTCCTCATTTGTGGTCAGTGACCAGATCTTCCATTTTCCTATATAGTTGTCCGAAACGCACTCATGACCTCCTGCCTCTGAAACAGTGTACATTCATTCTACATAAGGTTCTACAAAAGTTTTCATTTTTTGCGATGACACTTTACAGGAAAATACAGGAGAACAGCTCAAAGAGCACAATCGTATTCTTGATCAATTCATACAAAACAATCAGGAATGTCTAATCTAATTAATATATGTTTCTGAATGTCGAGGCTACAATTTATTATTTATAATTCTGTGACGTTTCCAGTACCTGGATAACCTAAGTTTGTCATCCGGCTAGATTTTGACACGCCCCCCTGTACGCTTCATACATAGAGCATGAAGGAAAGGCATCGTCACCGACAATTATAATTGACTCTACCAGTCGCTCCTGAAAAGAAGACGTAAACATTATATTAATTAAGTATCTTACAGCCTAGATAGCCCCACAGATAAGCTCATATTTTTATGTCACTAAAGATGCAGACCATGCGCCTGTTTGTAGCGCCCAAACCATCTCCCCATCAAGCCCCCCCACAAGTTCCGAAAGCGGGAGCGGGGTTAAATTAAATTCTTTCTATGAACACACCCTGTTTTCATTGTTAAAACGGTAATCATGTTCAGGGCTGGATTCCGGTAAAGTATTTACTGAGTTAATGAAGCCTCGAGCATTTGTTAATTCACGAGTGTTTCGCATATTATCATCAGTTCTTACCTATCTCAGTCGGCAGAATCTCAGCGGCAGGTATAAAACCCCGTTCTAGGAATTTCCTCCGAGCCCGTCCTCGTCCCAGTCTGTCCTCTGAACCAGATTCCTCCGTCTGATACGAACCGCCAAAGCTTCCAAACGTTAAAATGACGGATTCTGAATAAGTAATTGTAGTACAGAAGTTAGAGAATGATGTTAGCATTTAAGTACCTCTCTCATAGATCGCCCCGCAATCCCGCAAGTTTAACTCCAATCTACCCATTCCTGTTTTTTGCAGAAGCAGCAATTTTTTAGTTGAAAGCATGCAACAAACGATATTCAAGAGCGGTACATAGATATTGTTTTTAAGATTACATATCTCATTTCAATAAGTTAGTAGGAATCTGGCACAAATCTTGGTTGAAGAAGGAAAAAAAAAAGAAAAAAAGTGACAATGTTCTTCACTACACTAGCATTTAAAGTTTGAAACCCTTTTTAAAGATGACATGTGAAAATAAGCCCTTAACATATAATCAGCGTCACACACTGCGAGGATAATAACAACGGCCCATCCGTGATAATTAATCGTGTAACTTCAGTTATTTTCCCCAAATTTTGGTAATGAAAGCAATGCTTGCCGTCCACTGCCCTGAATGACATGTGGTAAAGGCCCTCTCCTGTCCTCAGGACAGACGAGGATACTAAAATTGGTCGGCTCTGTGAATGGTTAAATCATACTCCTAAAATTTATGCTACACAAAAACATCGAAATTTAATTCGTGAATTTTTTGAAAACTGTGGCGAACCTTAACTAGGCTAAAGGTTTCGGATTCTGTGTGTGAAATGCCCCTGTGGCGTAATTAGTTGTTGCCTGCGTTCAGATGATCCAAGACAAAAACTGTACGTGGAGAAGCATTTGAAGTTTGAAAAAATGGTCGTTTCGGGAAGTCAAGATTGAAAACTGCCCCAGAGTTTACTGTAGAATTCATAATATGAGCAATTGATCTTCAATCTGCAACAAATATCGTTTGATCTCACTCCCTATTCCTCTCTTCTTTGAGGATACGCTATAGCATCAATTTGTTTTTCCATGATGCACCAACCGCGACCCTCACTCCCGGCGTCCTATCAAGATAATTATAGATAATAAATATCAACGCAATAGATCGCCTCCCCCCTCCCCATACCCAAGATGCCTCCCACCGTTCAGTCAACTTTTCATTACCAATCAGTGCGGCAGCTGCCCATCTTTCATGGAATCTCTGAGCAATTTTTTTCAACATTCAGTCCGACCGTGGCCGAAATTCTGCGTGTATCAGCCAGGCAGACAGAGATGGCCGTTGTCCACCTGAAATTCAATTTTACTTGATATAATAGACTTCTGTTCCTGAGGTATACCTGGTGATAAGTAAAACTCAAAGGGTCAGTGCTCAATGAATCCTATAGATAAGCAACTAAAAGCGCACCAACCTTCTTTCATATCCTACACACTCTGCACCGGGATAGTAAACCCACTGGTTCGCCAGATACCCTTGCGCACACCCAACTTCAGGTACTGTGGTGTTAACCTTCATGAGTGATGTAAAAAGTTGATATTCCACATTGACATTATAAACTCTGTATATAATACTATATATATATATAAAGGTAGTATTGGAATGTAGATAAGAAATAATTCGACTTTTCATCTCTCTACAGAAATTTTCCAGTTCAAACAACTGAAAAGTTGAGAAATTACTCATAACGATTGACGACCAGAGATAAAATCCGTCATTTTATAAATATTCATACCAAGATTCTACCCTATTTGTCCTGTCCCAACCTTAGGTTAAAAATGAGCTGCTCTTCTAGCTGAGATGGACGGTACTTTTCCGGTCGAACTTCGTGGGTTCTAGAAGGCGGTCCGAACTTTACATGAAAAGTGAATGATACTCTGATCTCGTCCATATCCAAAAAAATGACTCCTGCCGGCATCATCATTAAAATCTATCGAATGGATCAAATCTCTGGCTTATCGATTTAAAAATGGACAAGGAAAATTAGCGGATATTACTATTTAATCAGTTATGAGATCACTGAATCCTTGTATAAAATCATTATACTACATTAACAGAGTATAAATTTTAACTAACTGCAT